GAGATCGTACATTTTTTGTTTATTGTTTTTTCTCAATATGAAAAATCATGTGATATGACGTCATTTCGACTATTTCGTGACTTTAGCCTTCAATGGTCGAAATGATTTCGACCATTTCGACCATTTCGAATATTCGAAATGATCTATTTCGACTTCATGTATAATTTAAACATCTGTCTAAACTCTTAAATTTTTTGTTGATTTGGTCACTTTTCCTAGCACTTATCCCATATAGATATAATTCAGTAAGATAAAACTGATTTTGTATTTATATTTTCTTTTTAATAAAATTTGGAGCAAGATAAAACTATAGTAAAAAACCAAATCTTATTATTTGATAAGAAAGAGATCAAATATTTGTAATAACAAATTATATGACATTATATAAGAAATGATATTATTTGACAAAATATTAAAAAAGGAAAAAACATTTTTAAAATAAAAATTATGAAGAAATTCTAATACTAAAAAAAAAATTATTTTAAGAAAATTTAATTTGCTTTAAAATTAAAAAGAAAAGAATTGATTTGAATATATAATATACTGGAGGAGAACAAAAATACTGCACGGTTTTGATTTAGATATTTTAATTAATTTATTTTATGTAACTAAGCCATGTTTTTTTAGTAATATATTATTTATTAATTATATAAATAAATATTTTTATTATAGTTTGAATTAATATGTTGTAATTCGTAATATCAAATTTGAAAATATTCTTAAAGTTCGATTTAATGCAAGTGATAGTATAATTAAAGAACTTATCTTTTAGAAAAAAAAGGCTTATTTTAGCAAAAATTGGATTCAGTAACTCAGAAATCATAAATATTATAGGATATCATTATGAAATATTTATTTGGTTTCTTTTGCAAGAGAAATATCTAAAAAACCAAATATTGAATTTGATATTGAAGCTTAGTATATTATATTTGATAAATTGAAAAGTAATATGTTTTTAAATTTTAAATTTAACACCTTGCAATGCTTTAATTTTAACAATTATTTAAATATTTTATAAAGCATAAGTCAGCCAATATGTTATTAAAAAAATATTGTTCAGTTACATATGATAAATTAACTAAAATATTTAAATCAAAGTCAGCAATACTTTGTCTTCTTCTGGTAGGGATGTTAAGGTTTGTAATCAAATCGGTCTGACTCTGATTTGGTCATAGAACCAGTTTCGATTTGATTTGAGGATCAAATCAAACTAAAACTGAATCAAGTTGAATTGGTTTTTAGACTAGTTTGAATGATCAATTTATATAAATGCTGTATCGTGCAAATTGTAAGACGTATTGATCATTTTAACTAGAATAATTTTCATTTTGCATTATTGTTTATATTAATTATACAATGTTTGGCGATATAATTTCAAATGCAAATGATGACAATTTCTCAAATGTTTCTTCAACTTCTTTAGTAACAAAAGAAGATTTCAATATAACAACTCGCAAGTTAGATATATGGGAATTTTTTTTTAAAGTCCAAGATGAAGAAACTGGATTAACAACAAGTTATAAATGTATATTATGTGCTAAAATTTATTCGCCTGACAATCCAGCAATTACCCTTCAAAAATATTTAACTAAAAAGCATTTATTTCATTATAAAAAAACTGAAAATCATCAAATTACTTTGAATGAAATGCGTTTCAAACTCTATTCTTTATCATAATCTAATTCTATCACAGATACATTGATTGATTTTATTGTAACTTATTTACAACCTTTTTCTATTGTTAAAAATACTAAATTTAAATTGTTTGTTAATAAGTTGAATCCTCAATTTATTTTATCATGTAGACAAACTTTAAAAGAAAATTTTGTAAAAAATTATGATACAAAAAGAAATGATTTAATAGGGGAAATTTCACAAATTAATTCAAAAGATCTCTTACAATAGATATATGGACATTAGATCTAAAAAATTGTTATCTTGGAATAACAATTCATTATATTAATAATAATTGGAAATTAAAGAATCTTTTGCTTAATATAATTCCTATAAATGGTTCTCATAGAGCTGAATTAATTACAAGCAAACTTTCGCAACTTTTTGAAGAATTCAATATTAGTCAGAATATTCTTGCTATAACAACAGATAATAAAAGCAATATAATAGCATGTGGTAATCAATTAGCAACTGAATTAGATCAAGAATTTAATAATATATCTTTTATTCATTTTTGATGTGCTGCTCACATTATCAACTTAGAAGTAAAAGCTGAAATAAAATATGTAGGAGATGAAATCAAAACTTTGTCAATTTGTTATTAAATTAAAAAATTTACCATTATTATTAGATCAATTATTAGAAATTTGTACTATTAGAAAGGTTAAATTTTTAAAGCTAATTTTAGATATAGATACGCGTTGGAATTCTACATATTTGATGATTGCTAGACAAACTTTAATGCAGAATGTTTCTGAATTACTTGTAATAACAAATCCTGAAGATCTCAACAATTTCTGAATGTGGTCATATTAAGGTATTTATTATTTATTATTTTATTATTATAATTAATTCATTATTATTTATTTTAGAAATTATCATTAATTTTACAACACAAGTATATGATTGGTTTTTGTTGGAATGTTTAAAAAATTGAATCAATATCAAAGAAGAGGTCATCATACACAAAAAGAAATAGCATCAGCTATTTACAACAAAACAAATTAAAAAATATTGGGATGATCATCATTTAAATTACACTTCTACAATTTCTTCGGTATTAGATCCGCGTTACAAATCACATTATTTGAAAATAATGACTTAGCTGGAATTATTAATAATCTACAAGAATTATATAGTACATATTCTCCCTTAAATAATCAAACAAATTCAAAAAAACAGTTATCGTCTCGGGATTACTTTCTTAATTTGCTTAATCAAAATAATTATCAAAAAATGTCATGTGAAGAATTAGATAGATATCTAAATTCTCCAGTAGATAGTGGTGCCAATCCTTTAATTTGGTGGAAAGTTCATGAAAAAGATTATCCTTATCCTATATTGTCTCAAATGGCTAAGGATTATTTATCTATTCAAGCGACATCGGTTCCATCAGAAAGAGCAGCCTTTGCAATTTCAGGCTTAACTATCTCAAAAGTTAGAAACAGGTTAAATCCTGAACAGCAAGAGCAATTATTGAAGCATTGGATTTCAGAAAAAAGGATAGTAAAAAATATATAAATTTATATTAAAATTGTGGAGATGGATAATAAGGCGAAATTATTTCGGTCAAAAACTTAATGGGAATAATGTTTCGGTAATAATAGATCGCAAAAAAAAATATTTTTGTATAATTCGACTTTTTTTTCCGGTTTATTTGTATTATAATAAAATTTTTGTATTGGGAATTGTTGCGTATCGCACAATTTTTTTATTGTTTCGTCAAAGATTTTTACAATATACTGTATATATAAACTCCGGTCTAAATTTCGGTCTAAACTCCCGTTTCAAATCGGTCTACAAACCGATACAGGTCGATTTTACCCTCAAACCGATAAAAATCGGACCGAAACCGAACTGGTCGAACCGTTAACACCGTTAACATCCCTATCCCCCGGTAGCATTAATCATAGTTCATGATTTGTAATCATAATAAATCACTAAGAACTGAACTTTCTTAATTTTCTATAATTTCTTATTTTCTTATTTTTCTTATATTTTTATAATATATTTATTTTTTCATTTTATAAGTAAAAGATACTTGTTAACCACATTGCAATTTGCGAGGGGACGAAGTCCCCTGCAATTCGCAATTTCTAGTTATGGCTATATTAGATTAGATTCCTATCGTGATAAATGTTATGTAATCTTACCAAATAATACTTTAGGACTAACAAAAAATTATAGGGCTATATACGTCATCAATTACCCGAATACAATAATTTAAATCTTGTATATCCAATGTAAGATCACTGGCTCATTTCTTCCGTCAGGAAAAATTGTGCGGATTGACATTATTTACGACAATCATTATTATCTCGGAAGGAGCTGTTGCATTGCATAAATGGTATGAAAAATAATCGTGTTATAGAAAATATGATAGGGATCAGCTCTGTTTTCATTAAACCGTTTTTATATCTCATTGTGGGCAAAGTTTAAATCGTTGCCTTATTTATGAAGTGATCTTTGATTAATTTGTTATTCAACCCACCAATAACGTTAGATCATTAAAAATGATTATATTCTAAGAGATTTTAATCTCTGTGTATTTTGGGAAAAACAAGGTTATTGGAGCAATAATTAGTAAATATGTCTTGTTTATTAGAAACTGCAAAATGTCGCAGGTTATTTCAATTACTGGCTTTGCAATGCAATGTACACTATCACAGTTGCCATTTTCCGCAGATTCTTTTTTTACTGTCTGAATCCATATCATATTTTTATTTTTTGGGGGGTTTTGTTTCACAAGAAATAACAGATTCAAATTTTATTATAAATAAATCGAATTATGCTTATTAATTAATAACACTATACTTTTAGTTATTTAATCGCAGAGAATAACCATCTGGATATTTTTCCTTCTTCTTGACGTAATTAGTAGGCCAATATATAATAGGTTTATAACAAGTATTTTTATAATACCACCAAGCTTCCTTAAATTTGGATTTATCAAAAGAATCATCATTTAATAGATTATTATATTTAAAACCCTTTATTCCCAAAAATTCTAAATTATGATGAGCTTGTTCTAACGTTTCGAAAAATTCGGGATTAATTTTACTACCATCATCGATTGTAATTACTCGCCAAGAAGGGCCTTCTAACTAAATTAATCCAACCTTTTTGCGTCACATTGGGTAAACGAGCTCTAATTTTAAGCTTGACTAATGAATTCATTAACCCAAACATGAGTAATTCTTCATCCGAGTTTTAACTAAAATTAATTCGGTTAATTTTAACTTTGAAACATTTAAAAATCCTTCGTCATTCATTTCACGATCGACAAGTATTCTAAATTTGGAAAATTTTCAAATAATAAATTATTTTTACCATCAATTTTTAAAAATGATAATCTTTTTAAATTCTCCATACATTCATTAATTTGATTTAAATCATTCCCATTGACCATATGTGATAGATTTATTGATTTGATTGATTTTGATTTATATAAAAATGGAACCGTTTCACTTGATCTAATTTTTTACAATTTTCCAGTAATATCATTGTGGAATCTTTAGATATGGCTTGTTGAAATGTATCGATATCAAATATTCTTAAATTCTTGCAATTTTTTCCAACTAACATAACAATCATTGATGGATCTGTAGTTAATATTGTTTGATTAAATGTTATACTAATCGATTGCAAGGAATCCGCATTACTCGTAAAACTATTTCGGTAGCGGCAGAAAAGGGGTAAAAGGGGAAAATAATTTTTTTATTTAGTATATTTGACAATAAATTTTTTTTTAAAAGTTATAAATATTTAATACCTTTCCCATACCCGTTCAGACATTTTTGGATTATGTAATTGAACACTTTTAACGACTCCTAATTTAACAGTCTCGCTTAAAGCATCGTGGTATTCCGCTTCATCATTTCTGTTGCTATCGTTTAAACCTCCTTTTGTTCTCTCTTGCAACTTATCTGAACCTTTACGGGTAGAAGGTATATTACAAATTGTTGTTCTAAAGTAACCAGCGAAGATATCCCAATTCTCATAATTGACTATTGTCAAATGATTTATTCGATCCCCAAGCAACTCCACTCCAAAGGAAGTAAAGACGCTTTATTTTTTCTTTTCTTCGAGAGAAGTAAGTTTGCACAAACCGAATCATTATTTAGCACCGATCGTTGAGAAAATCTTAACTTTAATTCTTTAAGATTTTTGCATTTTTCAGCAAAAAAATTAATTAATTTATCATCAATGTAAATTGGTGGTTTTTTATTCAATTCATATACTAGTATTTTTAATATGAAATCTCCATAAGGTATTAATGGATTTTTTGATAGGGTGTTACGGAATGTATTCAATGAATTATTCTCTGTCAACATTCTTGTCTTCCAAATTTCGGAGAGACAAAGGTATGCGAAGTGACGACACGTGAATGCAAGTGGTTTTAATACATTAACGGAATCGACAGATTCTAGGATTGATTCTATAATCGATAAATGAATTTCTTTTGGGACTTGCATTAACTGCATCATGATAAAAGTGCTAAAAAAAAAAAGTTGATTGAACGCCTAAAAAGAAAAAAAAAATTTCTTTTAAAATATTTAAATGAAAAAATAAGGATAAGAAAGAGATAAATAAGAATTTTATTTACAAATAAATTTTTTTTTTTAACTGTCGAATGTTCGGAGTTTTACGCAAGCTCAAGCCATATATAGTAATAGATGACAAAAATTACATTAACAAATATTTAAATCATGAGGGTCTCATTGCCGTTTGTCATACCATTATCGGATTTGCTGTGGCTGCGGAAACAACTTTTTTTGGAAAATAGAAAGAGGGGAAAAATCAAATTGCCTAAATATGATTTTTCAGGCTGATATGCTATTAAAATTGAGGTACGGATCATATGATTTATTACATCTCGTACCTCAATTTTAATAGCATACCACCCATATATTCAAATTTAAAATTGACTTATTATTGAATTTGCAGTTTTTTGAGCACTTCGTATCCCAAGAAAAATTATTTATAAGAATAGATTAATATGTTTCTAATGATTTATTAATAAACTATAAGAATCTTAAATTTTTCAAATTTACAGATCTTTCAATAAACTTTGTGTAACTTCATGTTAAAATAGTTGTAGATTATTTTACGTTTGGTTTAGAATTTTTTTATCTTCCTATTCTATTGCTACTATGACATTTATTCGCAAAGAATTAGTTAATAATCTATATTATGAAGTATCTGCATTGATATTTATCAATGATGACATAGACAAAGAGTTTGAATTGAACAACAAACAATTATAGATGATAAATCTCTCTTATAAATGATGAAAAATCAGAGGTAATGATTGTTATTAGAAAATTATGAATATCGTAAAGTTATATATAATCAAGGAAAGAAAAGAATTTGTGACGTGAAATTCTTTGCATTTTCAAAGGCAAGACATGAATGTAAAAGAAAACAATTCAACGATTTGTATAGAAATTATTAAGCTCTGTAGACTTATTTACAAATTGCTGTACATACATACTTCGCTGTTACATTGTGTTCAATGAAAAAATAACCTACATAAATTACCTTATTACGAAATTGAGAGGTGACAATAGCATATTACACGTTAAAAAATCCTTTTTTTCTCAAATTAAATTAGTCGTATTAATTCAAAACTAATATAAATAATGGTGAATGTTACAGTTTTATTTAATATAACTTCGAAAGAGGAGTTTTTAACTTTTATTTAATCTGATAGTGAATCTGATAATTCTAATTTGGATAATGATAATGTTCAGGTAAATTTTAATTTTTTCAAAAAAATGTAATTTTACAAAATATATTTATGTATTTTTTATTTTTTAAAAAAAAATATAGGAAAATAATTCAGTTTATGACAATTTCATTACTGCTAAAGAATTAATGCAAAAGAATACAAAACGCCCATGAATAAAAAGAAAAAATATGAGCAGAAAGTAATTGTAATCAAAAAATATTATAAAAATTGTACTTTTAATAAATAAAATAGATAGATATTATATTATATTTGTTATTTATACTATAATGCGTAGTAATATAATAAATGTTTAGTAACAAAAATCATTTAATAGCATCATTAAGAAATTAAGACTCGTGACATAAAATGATAATCCCGACTCGAATTTTTTCTCGAGTCGGCCCGGGTCGATATCAACATAAACATCACAAGTGAAAAAAACGTTAAAGTCATAATATTAAACCATATATTTCACACCCGGATTAGGTTAAGAATCTCAATGCAATTTTTTAATAATGCGCTATGTAAAATCATGTATAACATATATAATATAAATACTAAAATTTTTCTAAATATAATAAATAATTCTTTTATTCGCTAAAATTAAGCTAACTTTAAACTTTATGGTTTGTTACGGGGGAACGAAATTTAGAGTCTAAAGATGATTAAAAAAAATGGTAGTCTGATTTATAGATTATATCTAGTATTCCTAGTTAAGGTCAAACTATAAAGCTTTTATATTCATTAACTTGTCAGATTTATTTCACATTAACGATGAAGACCCCAACGAGGCGTAGTAAATTTCACGCTACTTTAAAATTTCAGCTTGAAAGATTCGACGCATTAAAACAATTTAACCTGGTATACAATACCATTAAAGTATGAAACTTTTTGTAGTTTTTACCCTCCGTTTTCGAACATTGGTCTCTAAAACTTTTATTCTTATCATTTTCGTTGCTTTTCTGCATATGCTCCTTAATAATTAGACTCCGTAAGGTTGGGTCGGTCAGGTTTGAAGCATATTCGTACTCGAACCCGTTAATATTTACAGGACTCGAATCTTTGGTAGTACATTAATTCAAATTTGTTATATTATTTGCCACCAGGAATTCGAACACATGCTCGAATTGTATCGGCTTTAAGAACACATCTAAACTCGTTCAACATGAACACTCGTAGCTTTAATTTCATTTATATTTGGTCTAAATAACACCAAATATTTGTTGTGTTTGAATCACTAATATTGCGAAGCCATGATTTATATCCTATAAATTTTTTTTAAAAAAAAAAATAATAACCACATTATACTTTATTAAAAACACATAAGGCCAACTTCACGATGGGCTTGAATATTTATGGAAGAATATTTTCTTCAAAAAGTTCTTTGGCAAAAAGATTACTTCGTAATGCTTTTTGTTTTCCAAGAGAAGCTATGTTATCGGAATTCGGGTCACTGGGTCAAGTAAATTTGTGACCGGTTTTAAAAAACTAGGACTCGTGACATAAAATGATGGTCCTGACTCGAATTTTTTCTTTAGTCGAGACAAATGACCCAGATTGATTCGACTGACTTGGAGCACTAAACGTGACTCCTTCTTATAAATCATACTATAGGCCATATTTTTCACCACAATAGCAGCGGAGCAAATCTTGAACAGCCATTTGGTTATTACCTTCGTTATCGTAAAAATTAATCAATTGTTAATATATGGCTGTAAAGTATTTCCAAAGAATTGATAATACCTTGATTAGAATTAACGTAAGTGAATTATCCATATTTACTGATTTCCTAGCTTTTTGCTGAATAGCTCATCCAGAATGAACTCTAATGATCTTGTTCAGAGGTTTATTTGTATTCCATAAAAGGTCGTTGTGATAATTTTGATTCCTTTAATGCTGCTCAACCTACATAAATTCACAATCATAACGAATAGTTCGATTATGATTTACTTTGATAGATAATATATGAAATGAATCACAAAAGTATGAGTTCTTTATAAAAAAAATAAAGGCTATTGCATTACCTTCAATTATACATTGTACTGTATATGACCAACGATACTTGTTGTACTAGTTTTATCTTGGCAGAACCATTCACATTGATACTAATTACCGTAATCATCTTTAGGAGCACAATTTTTCGCTAAATATTTATTGAACTTAAAAGTATTAAGGTTTAAAATGTGGTTTTTTTTTTATTCGAAATTTTTTTGAAAATTTTTACTTCTTCGAAAACTATATATCATTTAAAATATTTAAATTACTTTGAAATAATAAGAACACCATCAAATTATTTTATCTTTCGTAAAACTTCTTTATACAAGACCAAATAAACAGCCGACTTTTGCGGAACCTTAGCAATACACCACAAATATAAAGCAAACAAATAAGAAATTTAAAAGCACATTCTTTCTAATAAATAACTATAACTCTCCTAATTATAACAGAATAACCGATTAAAAACAAATTGAGAATACTGGTGATTCTATAATAATGATGATAATATAAAATTTGATTGAGAATTTCGTGTTATCGGCGGATAACTTCTTTATTTCCAAGTTTTTAAAGCCATCAAAGCTTTGTTTAAGGGATCTTTTAGGTAATTCATGTCATCCGGAAAATTCATTTCTTTCAACATTTTTCGTGCTTCATCCTCATTCTGTCTTTTTTTCCCGTGAAACATTTCGTTGCGCTTGAGTTTAAACTGTTGCAGTAGTTCAAATTCCTCGATCTTCATTCCAACATTACGTAGAAGTGTTGATAATTTTTCATCGAGGTTCTTTTTCTTATCACCCTGACTATATCGATATGATAAGCAAAATCCCTCTATAGATTCAAAGTTTAATTTGGTTGCAATAATATAAAGAAATCTTCCAACGAAATCTCTAAATCTTCTGTGTATTTCATTTCTTTGTTCAATAATTTCTGATTTCTGTTTCGATTCTTTCAATTCTTGCTCCATAATTTCTGATTTCTTTTTCGATTCTTTCAATTCTTGCTCCATACGTTCAATTTTCTGCTTTAGTGTCTCTTTATCCTCCTTCAATTTTGCAACTTCCTCCTTCAATTTCTCATTATCCTCTAAAAGTTTTGTATACTTTTGATCTAATTTATTTAACTTACTGATTATTTCGTCAAATATAAGTTTTATCTCGTCTAGTTTTTTGGGCTCAACTATAGTGGTAGTAGTGTCTAGCAATTCATTTATTTGATTTTTTATCTCAACGACTAATGATTCTCGTTCTTGTTTCTGTTGAACGTGGTCTCTTTCTCCTAAGTTGGTGTCTTTGTTATTTTTGTTTTCAGATTTCGTTTTCTTTTGTGTGATTTTTCTTTTTTTTCCTTTAGCCATATATGATTTTTATTTTAAAAAGAAAATAAATTTTTTTGGGAAGAAAATTTTATTTATTTATTTATTTTATTTATTTTTAAACTTATATATACTTTATATACTCGTGCGTGTGTATACTTTTTGACATGACATGTGAACATGTAAATCAGTTTGGTCACGTTTGCGCTTTAATATATTGCATATATGAATATTTTATTTATAAGATGTTGCTAAAGCATAAAGCGACAATTATAAAGTTACATAGTTATATAGATGCGAATAAAAATCATTAGTTTGCTGGATATTCTTTTATGAAAGAAAATGAAATGATTCTAAAATCTACGATTAACGATAACTTTTATGTATAAACGCGTGCATCGAATAAATTCAAATAAAAATAATAAACAAGATTAAATATATTTTAATTTGATAAATTCATGACTTCACACAATATCCACAACATGCTAACAATTTCTTGATTAACGATATAAAATTGATGATAAATTGATTCGTTTATAAATCTTTTTTTCGATTTACTTGAGCAATGTGGATAAAAAGAAATTGTTAACCAAAACTTAACTTGATTTTATTATTTGCAGCAAACATTCTCAACCTAAAATGAATTCGGAACTTTGAAATCAAAAATGTGACTCCGTCGTAATTTTTTCGAATAATGGACCTGTACAGAAAAGACATCCATTATTAATACAAAATTGTGAAATGGCATCAATAAAGTATCCTTTAATTAATCTCACTAAAAATAACGCCAATACTAATTAATGCAATAGTATGTGGAAATGGGTTGGGCCTTTTTTTTACATAGTATCTCTAATAGTTTTCATAAAAAATCCTTAAAGCGTATATTACATAAACTATGTCTCGCAAAACTTTCTTTTTAAAGAAATTGTTCGAATACGTAGAATACGTAGATAAAATTTTAGAATTTTTATATATTGTGTATTACGATGGTGAATATAAATCTACACAATATGTCATAAAAAACTACCTAAAACCTTTTATTTCTAGCATTTCACCTTTATATCAGATGGTTACAATGTTTGCCTTGTTTCAATTCGATTTACAGTATTTATCAAAGTATAAGTACAGTATAAGTCTGCCTTTCTTTCTATATCACAATCCTAATAATTATAACGAAAGAAAATAGTTTACCCCCATTTTCCAATCGTTTCACCGTCAATATTTCAAGGATATAATTTTTTTCCTTGTCCGTATTCATAATCAACCAGAGGATTTTTTCGTGAAATTTGACTTCAAGTACTAACGAAGTGGTTTTCATACCCGAAAGCCAAAACTTCAACGTTAGATATCCTCAGTATGTTCATACTATGTTTCCGATATAGGTTTCAACCTTCCAATTATGGTCCAGAATCCCAGTATTCGTGTTATTACGCAAATTTTCAACATCTTCGTAAACTAAAACAAGTTTACCGGGATCCTTGACATACTCTGCGGTTCCATTTCAACTTTCTTTCTTTATTTTTAAAATATCGATCATATATGATTACATAATAACCTTGATGTTGATTCACTTAATAGTTCGGTTGTGGACGAGAGCTTACAATAATTGGATTACTACACATTTGTCGTCCGTTCAGTACCGTTGATAGAAGACCAATGGTCCAAATTAAGCCGATTGAGGTAAGGTAGAAGGGATTTATTTGTTGATGAAAGGTGTCTCCTTATTCAAGTTAATCTACGATAAATCTTTCTTCGATAAATTGGAGTCGTCCCAAAAAATGGACATAAATTCAGAGATTGATTTCAAAATTCCTGCTACAAGGAAGAAATAAGCTATATTGAAGGCAGATCCGTGACGGTATGGTACTTTACCTTACAATAACGATAAAAGTGGGTATTTGATGATAAGCAGTGAAGACGATAATTAATGTCAGCGTAGATGAAATTATTTTATACTTTCTCAATAATTCAACTTTTTGTTCATCCCGAAAATAAGTAATGAAAATAAACAGCTTTATCACCAGAATTTGAATGAAGTATTTAATTTTTTTCATTAGTAAAACTAAGGCGAGCAAACTTATACATAGTCATTTTATTACATGTATATCTATGGAGGAGAAAGCTGACATGGCAAGGCGCACAGAAATTTTATGAGGTATCAGGGTATCGTGTGCCATAGATTAACGAATCAGTAAGTGAATTAATTACATTAAATCGTTAGAATTCTAAAACTTTTAATCTCCTTTTATGCTGAGACATTTTTATTTGAGCATTACATTCTTGGCAATTAATTATTATTTTGTTATTAAATCGGAGGATAAGATTAGTGATTATTTCGTCGCGAAAAAAACAAATATATAAAAAATTATTTATTATGCATTACAATAAATCAATTTTTGAGGGAAACTAATAAAAATAAAATTAATATGACCTGAAATTTCACGAACGGCGGTATTAAGTGTTGTAAACATTCAACATAACTAAGCACATGAATTTTTGCACGATTTGATTACTGCGTCCGTCGCAATCTCGGTAGCGTTAAGTTCGATTACACGTACGTAGTATATATAATTTTCCAAAACATGCTGAATTTTTTCTAAAAAAAAAAAAATATTACTAACACTAAAAAAAGGAGAGAGAAAGAAAAAAAACCGCCCCACTGATAATTTGTTAAATATACATCTTGATTTTGTACAGTGCAGAACCTCTATAATAGGAACTTAGAAAATCTTAAATAAAATTTAATCCTATAATCAGATTTTAATCAAATAAAAAAAATTAAATTATACTTGCAAAAAGAAACCAATTTATTTTAAAAAAAAATTTCTCAATTTTATAAATTATGTGTGATATCAATAGCAGCCAATCAAAAATTAGAATTTTTATTAAAATTAATAAAAATCATTTAATATAAAAAATATCAATTTTATTTATGTATTTCACTATAAATGCTATCAGGTACATGACGATGAGATTTATATTTTTTAGCAGCAAATTCTGCCATTTTTCAAGTAATGCCTTTTCTATAAATATCCATATATCGCCATGATTTTCGTGCATATTTACGAATTGTAATTAAAGGAATTGAATCTAAAGCCTTAGGAACAATTTGTTGTAATCCTACCCATGTATAATTGCAATGTTCTCGTGTATATCGTTTTGCTGCACCCCAATACATTTCTATATAATTTAATTCACAATGATACTTAGGATAAAAAATGCATTTATGATCCCACTTTTCAATTTCTTCTTGAAGTTGAGATTTTTGTGCTAAAAATCTGGTTGTAATGATAAAATTCAACGTGCACAGCAATCCACTCTATTTACATCTATAATCTTAGTTTTTCCTTTACATAATCGACAATCAGCCAATAAATTATCTTTCCATAAACCTCTTTCAATTAATACTTGTTTTATACCCTTTGGTTGATTTGGATATTTTAAATGATCATGTGAAAAAACCATAGATTGAAATGTCTGATTTGGTCCATAATAAGTTGTATGCATACATGGTTATTTTCCTCCCGGGTTCATATTCATTTTAAAAGCATTTAATCCATCTTTTGCCATTGCACCATGATTAGTACTATTATCAAATGCAAAAACAGCTATTGCATTAGGATATAATGTTTTAAAAATTGGAATAGCTGAATTTATTACTTGATCTAAAAGATGTTCTGCAGTCTACCAACCTTCATCATTTTTACCAGTCTTAAATACTTTCTTGCTTCTTTAGGAATGTTTGGATAATTTGCAGCAAATTCATCAGTAAGTTTAAGTCGTCCAATAGTTTCTAATAAAAATTCACTAACCATTATAAATTTTCCTTGACCTTTTTTTCTAAGTGGTAGTTCACCTAATGAAGCCCAAATAGTTAAACGATCATCACATCAACCAGGTGACTTTGATATCCATAACGTCAAATAACTCAGAAATCGAACCTGATCTCTAATCCTAGTGACAGCTCGATTAGACGGTGCTGCAGTCGTGCAATGCAATTTATTATCACCGTTGATCTAATCAACTAAGTTCTGATCAATCACTTTATTGGCAAAAAAAGTCACTCGTCATGTGTTACTAAAATATGCAATTGCTCTTAATTTTTAAGTACTGGAAGAATCATTTGCATTTCATCACCAATAAATTTTGGCATTAACTTTTCAAATTCTGCAATAGTTTTTAAAAATTATTCACGATATTATAATACATCTTCACATTCATGTTCGTCAAAATATATGCCTTTCTTTCGAGATTGTGAAGCGAAACCCAACTTACGAAGCCATATTCTTGCAGTTTTTATTGATATAGATTTTATAATACTCATATGAGGAAAAAGTTTTGACACTATAAATTTCTTATACTGTTGTGATGTTATTTTTCTGCCATTAGAACGAATATATGTTAAACTACAATTGATAATATCTTCATCATTAATAAGTGATTTTATTTTTTAATGATGACCTTGCAATGAAATTGATAATATACAATATTTAATTCAATAATCACCTAATTTACGAATTATTCTAGACCTATAGATTCCTTTATTATAAATTTCTTTTGATGCCTTTTCACTTGCTTTCATTCACGTTAACCCATCTTTTTCTAATATGTAAAATATGCATGTATAGACTGATACCTTAGATAATCATATATATTTTGTTTTTTATTATAACTAGAAAGAATTTGTTCTAATTTTTGTAATTTTCGATTAAAATTATGGTTATCATCATCTTGAATTTCATCGCTTATACTTTCTTCTTCTAATATTATTTCTTTATCATTTATTTCATAATTTGACGGTTCTATAAAATCTAAACTATTTATTTCAATATTCCAATTATTTAAAAAACCTATTTTCAAATTATTAGCTAACATATTATTATTATCTTTTGCACCAGCCGATGAATCATTATTTTCTGTACCAGCCGATGCATTATTATTATCTTTTGCATCAGCCGATAAATCATTACTTTCTATATCAGCCGATGTATTGTTATTATCTTTTGCATTAGCAAATGCATTGTCATCATCTAATGCATTGTTATTATCTTTTACACCAGCCAATGCATTGTCATCATCGTTTGTATTAGCTGATATATTATCATTATCTAAAATATTTTAATTTAAATTAGTATTAAATTAATTTTATAAAATTTAATAAAAGAGTTTTTTTTATTTACCTGTCAAATCTATAACAAATTCATCTTCAGTTGAGTTTTTTATTGGTTTAAAAAAATTAAAAAGAGAACTTGTTCCCTTTGCTACCACAGTAAAACTTCCTTGAGGTCCATACTTTTGATAGTAAGTTGCAATTGAGTTTCTAGTATATGGCGCTTTTTTTTTGTTCAAATATTGCAATGTCAATCCATACTAACTTAAATTCAGATAAATATTGTATTCTTTGATTTACAAATTCTTCAGAATCAGAATCACTTTCTTTTAAATAAAAATCATTTGAGTCACTATCATCCTTATACTTTTTATTTGATGTAAATTTACCTGTTTTATCACGTTTTTGTCCTGCAACTCACTCTTTGGCTAATCTTGATGCATGTGATAATGGCATAATGAATGTAAATATAAAATTTATTACAATTAAAAGACCATAAGAAAAGAGGGGAACAATTTGAAATTCTAGAAATAAAGTTATGTCCCAAGTTTATCAAATTGATTTCAACTAAAATTTATATTTTTTTCTTTTTTTTTAAATGTTTCACAATTTTGGTATATTCTTAATTTCAGCCATCATAGTTAAATTAGTGTAAATGTATCACACAAAAACTTTGTTTATCATGCATAAAATTTAGAATCTAACCATAAAAATAATTAGATTTTGATTTAAACTTTCTGATCTATCGATTAAAATTTTTATATCTTTATTATTAACAGAGTTACATATGTTTAAAGATTAACAATTTTTACTATAAGATTGTTTTGTTCCTATTATAAAGGTTCCCCACTGTATAAACAGATTTTCTCTCATCCAGGATTGATATTTGCCTTTTCGCCGCTAGGTACCCATTCCTTAAAATAGTCAAGTACTTTAAAGGGCCATTTTGTATCCCCAGAATGGGGTTCATCTTTTTTAGTTTATTAAAATCAAACCTTATTTAATAAATAAAATAAAATAAATATTTTGACACGAGACAGATATACATATGTATAATAATGACTTTTGATAAATATATAAACTTGAATAATTAATATTTCCAACAAATAAATTATGCATAATGTATTGATAACATTAACAAGAAATCTTTTGCATAATTATATAATTGAGGCAAATTTCTTTTTTTTTTAAAAAAAAAAATAGAAAATAAAATTCATTTAACTATTAAAGTTTTGATGGTTACCATCGAATCTGGTTTGGCCTGCAGCCTTTACATCTAGACTTATAGCATAAATTGTTATGCAAAAGCAATAGCTTCAGAATTTATACCGGATCACCTTAGATAATGTTGCATTAAATTATACTCTTTATTAATATTATAAAAAGTAAGTTCTTTATCCAAAGGTATCAAGATTTAGTAAAAATACAAAGATATCTGATAATTAATAAAATAAACCTAATATATTAAAGGAAATAAAATTGACATGTTATTAGAAAATAAAATTTACAGTGAAATAGATGATCCTGACAATAAAGTTTCCACATTACCAAGAAAAACTAAATTAACATCAGATTCTACAAAATGCACGATCTACAAAGAAATAAAATAGACATCAAAGATCGTCAAAAATTCTCTAGGTAAAATTTTTACCCATCGCATGCATTTATAGAGGGTATTTCAACATACCTGAAACTCTCAGAATTGCTTACACGTGTAATATAAGGGTATGCACTTATCTCTAAGTACGAACTTAGAACTGAAAAATAAAAAGGGTGTGCACTTACTTATAAAGAGTGCACTTATGGATGTATTACTGTACACTGATTCCAAAATTGCATTTTATATGCATTTTTATCTTTTCTACAAGTTTACTTAGGAAGGAAATAGATGTTTTTAATACAGCTTTCTTTTTTAAAAAACACAATATGTAAGTTAAAAAATGACATTTAAAACCTTTCTTCTGATCTAAGTAAACTTGTAGAGCAGGCAAACATTCTTATAGAAGAAATGATATCAAAAGTTGAAGATTCAAGTTTTATTTTGAAACTAATAAGAACTAATCTAATTATTTTTAGATAATATCAGCAAAATTTATCACATGATTTCGCATTTTTTGATTATTACGCTGGGGGATGTCAATCTAAGACAGATCAAATATTTTGACTAACGAAAACTGTAGACTATACATGTAACGTTGAGGTGTTCGATATACTATGTAAATCAAAACTATATATAGTATTATGCAAAAATGATAGTGATAATTTTTAAGATAAACTTTGATAAACATATAAATCTTATAATTTTACTATAAATTTAATATAAAAGAATACTTTAAACTTTTTTAAATGTCCAGGTTAAATGACAACTTCTTTCTCAATTATTTTTTATTATTTTGCTCTCGCTAACTATGATTACAAAGTTATGAAGTAATTCTTTACATTAATTAATAAAATTTTCTACTTAATATAGGGTTAAAATCTCGTCTGTATATTATTAAAAGTTTGATTTTTAAACTAATTATTATGTATTTTATATTGAATACAACAAATGGCTTCATAACTTTGTTTATAAGGTTATATTAATATTCTTTACATTGATTTTTTTTATAACATTAGATATTTAAAGCTATTGTTAACGTGTAATTCTTGCGAACTACAACTGTTAGACAGGGTGTCAGAGTGTTATTTCTTTTTAATTGGCGTAGTAATCTCAAGGCTTTTACAAGTTTATTATCACAACTAATTCGGGTAAAAGTTTTAAGTCAAGGTTTATACAAGTATTTCACGATCAATAATCCACAAAATATCGAGTAATTATATTTTCAAGTAAGATGTTTATTGATAAGAATAGAAATAGAAATAAAGAAATAAAAGATATGACAAGAGAAAAGAAAAGAAAAGAAAATAAGAAATAAAGTATAAAGCTAAAATGTAACACGATAGGCCTGTTTGCCTCTTAAAACTACTAAAAACTAACTTGTCAAATCCTATTTTTTACATAGTCTAAAAAGCTACCTATTTATATAAAATACAGTATATAGAAAGATATAACTAATATATCTAATTTATCGTATATGTCAAATATGTCTGATATGTCATATATGTTGAATCTGTCTAATATATCTTATTTGTCGATTATGTCAGATATATCATATATGTACAACATGTCAGAAATATCAGATTTGTTAGATTTGTCAGATCTGTCAGATTTGTTGATCATCTGCGCCACGTAGGTCCTATCATATTTTATCCATTCACACTACATATCTAATTTAATGAAAATAATAGGAGTATATAAATCATACAAATGCCGTTTTCAACTAAAGAGATGTGATCAAGTTCGGCTAGAAAAGTGAAAGTATGATTTATAGAACAATATGATAAATTAAATAACTAATTGTCTGGTTAAAATGGATGATACTCAACTTCAAGCTATTTTCAGCACAATTAAAAATAAAACCAATTATTAACGAGTGAATTTAATTCATATAGTTGAGCAATTATCTGATACAGAACTCTCATTTACTATTAACCTCATTTCAACAATGCATTATTCTAGAGGACCTAACAAAGGCAAAATTCATTCATCATATTTACAAAAAAAAGTAAATAAATATCTTGACCAAACTCTTTATAGGCATCAAAATTATCAATCTTTACAAGATTCAAATTTACAGTTGGAAAAAACAAATAAAAGGTTTATCAAAAAAATCAGGCACTTATTAGGCGAATTCAATCTTTTGGAGTACAACCCAACATCTTCGAGATCAGAAGTCAAAATGTATAGCTGAAATTCATTCTTTGGTTCGACGCTCAAAGCAAATTACTGATGAAGAATTTCACAAAAGAGTTAAATCAATTTTTAAACTTGATAAAAAATCTTATTCTTCAAATACAATCTGGCTTGCTACAAATATCTTACAAGTAAGACAGATATCATTTTGCTCTGCTATTGAGTATATGCGATTAATTTATGAATTTCTAGTAGAAGTATCACCTCAAAATTGGTTGGCAAAATCTACTCTACGTATATGGCATCAGGATGTTTCTGAACTTCATTTTAATAGACAAATTCGTCAAGCAAAAAATGCACCTATATTTGGAGTAATGGTTGATGAATCAACACAAGGGCAAATAAAAAATTTAGTAATCTACTATTAATTCTGGAGTGAGGAAGATGAATTACCTGTTGTAATAGTTACTCAACTAGAAAATGTTATAAATTTAATGCTGAAACTGTATCTGATATCACAATTATGCATATTCAAGAAAGTGGTCTAGATTTTAAAAATGTGCTCTATGGATAAAAAAGGAGCTATTGTACTTTTTAATAAAAAAGTAAATGGAAATTCAATACAAATTGGTTGTGAGCTTCACATTATTCAAATTATAATGAATTATTTTAAACAAGAAGCATTGGTAAGCTTTCTAATGGTACAGGATTTTCAAGAAAATCACATCCTTATAATTTACTTTATTTAACTTGGAAATTACACGATAGTTATTACTCTAGTGATAAGGATAAGCCTTTCAATATAAATTCACAAATAATCAAAGATTTGTATGATGAATTGTTAGGATTTCACTATAACTACTATAACTAATATCAATTGCTTCTTCGATCACTGGGCTATGAGTTATGAACAGCTAAGCAATATCTTGATTGACATTTAGCACATATTGAGTTTGCTAACTGGTTTATTAATGAAATGAAAAACCATAAAACTTCAAAACAATATCTTGGTGATTGGTCTCTTTTTCAATCTTGGCTTTATGATTCAAAATTAAATATTCAAATTAAATGTTTAGTAAATTTTGCTGAACATTTTTATGAACCATTAATGCAATTTATGATTGGGCAAGATATAGCTTTACGTATTTATCAAAATGAACAACTAACTAAACTACCTCTCATGAAATGCCTGATAAAGTTTATGAATAGCATGAATTTTTTCAAGACCTTGCCAAGAATTTTGAAATATTCTTTACCAATGAATTATTAGAAGCATTGGACATTTTGTTTAATGAGGAATTTGGTGCACATTTTGATGATTTAGAAAGGGAATAATCAAAGTCTTGAAACATTTTGAAAAATGGTTTTCACTTTGGCTTCATCTACCATTAGTTGCTTGCCGTCTTATGGTGACAATGCTAGATTTTTTGCCTCTAGTTTTTATTATATAATCTTAAAAAAACCCTGGATTAGACTGCCGAATAATTTAGAATTACAGAATGCAGAAGAGTTGAATGATGATTTTAACAAAGGAATGACCAGTGACTTTGGCATAAGTGAATTGCTATTATAAAACAATGATTTTCTCAGAGAATTTGAAAATTTCTGTACAGATGATAAATTATCAGTATATGACTTCCCTGAATTGTATAGTTTTGTTAAAACCTGAATCTACTTGATTATTATTCACCAACAGCAAGTTGAAGGGCTTTTCAACAAATTAGATCTGAAAACACATTCCCAATATGTCATTATCAATCAAGCAGTCTAAACTTCATTTGTTCTCTAGTAAAATTTGTAAAGAAAATTTATCAGAAGGATTAAAAGAAATAAAGGCAAATCGGAAGAAAATTCCACTTCAGAAAACTCATTACTACAATTTGGGTCTGATATCGCTTCAAATCTTTTTAATAATTTATTATGTTAATAACTAAAATATTTTAACGCTATAATATAGTTTGTTATCAATTAATTTTAATTGACATTTGTTGTACAATAAAATCTGAGATTGAAATTTATTACAAAAAAAATCTTTGATAATAAATTTTTATATGGTACCATATACAGTCGTCCCCTTTATGGTCACACCCTTTGGGACCAAAAATAAAAAGTGTGATTATAATAAAAAGTTACTATACAGGGGGATTTTTATTTGTTG